AACCGTATGACTGGCTTGAAAACAGGGGTGGGGGTGTCTTCCTGGTGAGGACTGTTAAGGGGCTCAAGTTTGGTAATGTAGGGGAAAGTTCTCTAAAAAAGCACTCTGTGGTGGCAATGGCAGTAAACACAAGGACATTTCAAGGTCAGTCTCCTGGCTCAACTATGTCTAGCATGCAGGAATTAATTGTTGAATAAATAAATGCAGAATTGAACACAAGCATGTATGCACATCTAAAAGCAGACAGATATGTGGAAATCATTAAGGGTCCTAAGTTTATTTATTTTTATGTTTCATCACTGGGGACTGAACCTTAGACTTTGTGTATGCCGAGCAAGGGCTCCAGTGATGAACATTCCCAGCTAGAGTGCCCTAAAATCCATGTATTTTGCAAAGTAGTTGATTCCAATTCTTGATATGCAAATAGAATGAACTACTCTGAGTATCTGTCTAAAACAAAAATATTATCCTACATGTGTGCAGAAATGTTAGCTCCCCTGGCTACTGCTTTATTTACAAGTCTACTCACTTGGAACCTGTGCTTACTTAGATCAGCCATCTATAATATACATACAGACCAAGTTATATAAGGGATATTTATTTTTGACTGTGAAAAAAGTTAAGAAATGTAGTATTTTCATCATTAGGACTTAGTAGCACAGCTTTATGAGACTGTTACCCACGAAACAACTGGAATTAGAATTCGGAGTGTCCCTGCCACTGGGTTGTAGGCAAGGTACTTAGTTGTAGTATGTAGTCCTGTAATCTCGGAGGCTGACAGGATGCTTTCAAGTTTTGAGGTCTGCCTGGACTACAACCTTGCCTCAACAAAAACCAAACAGACAAAAAGATCATTTTTGCTTGAACCATCTCTTTGAGTCTCTACTCCAATTCCAATTTTTTTTAGGTGAGCTCTGGAGGGAGATGCCCACAGGAAGAGGAGCTTGAGATAAAGGCTTGTCTTCCATTTTCTGTCACCCTGTCTGCCTTCTCACCTCCTTCCCATGGAGCAGGAGCAATCTTAATAGCCCCCATCTGGGACCTTTTCCCTCTTAGTGACACTTTGAGATACTGGGCTCCAGGGGAGTCAGGTTCTCCTGTCTATGGAAAGAACTCTGAATTTGATTGGGAAACTGACGAGGCTATGTATATTTGTACAATGTAACTCCCACTTTCCGGAGGTGGTAGTTCTACTTTCCCAGCAAAGAGCAGTCTTTACTATGGAGTCTCTCTCTCTCTCTCTCTCTCTCTCTCTCTCTCTCTGTGTGTGTGTGTGTGTGTGTGTGGCCTATGTGTGCATGTATATACTCACCCATGTGTGCACTTGTGGAGTCCAGAGCTTGTTCAATCATTTGTCCACCTCATATTTTGAGACATGCTATCACACTGAATCTGGAGCTAACCATTTGGCTACACTAGCCAGCCAGCCCTGTCTCTACTCCCCAGCATTGGGTTGCCAGTGGGTGCCACTGTCTTGGCTCTTATGTGGGTGGTGGGATACATTCTTGACATCAATCATAATAGTACCTGTATCTAGCTGGGCAGCAATCAGTCTATAATCCTGGTAAAGATCCTATTGTTAGGGATCATTTTCACAATAACAAAATTATGCTTCTCTGTACTTTTCAAATTTCAGAAGAGGATGTGACACAAATAGAGGTAGTGTTATGTGAACCTTATTCATATGAAAAGGAGTTTTCTAAGAGACTTCCAAGACTGATCCAAATCTCCCACAAGACAATCCCATTATGTCTAATGCCAAACACATCCTGTGGGAAGGGCTGAGCAGGCTGAATCATTCCCCTGCTAGGCTACTCGGGAAAATGACACACACAACAGAGAGCAAACCAGGTTCATTCTTGAAGCCCAGGTCATTTCTACATTCTAGATATTTTTGAGATTGAAAGAGGACAAATTGCTCCTGGATATAGGGCACCCTGAAGAGTCACGTTTGGGAAGAAAAAACTTCCTTCACTTGGTATGCTTGTGGGTCAGCAGTCACTGTAGTCTAACAGTCTGTTGCAAGCTCCGTGAATGTTTCAGTTTGCCAGACCTGTCATGATAAATTAATTACAGGATGTTGCAGAAATGGCAAGGCTCCAGCAGCATCTTGCATGGTTTAATATAGACCCATTTCCCCATTTCAATGTATTTGTGGTTAGATAAATCCTCAGAAATTTACAGCTGCTATAGACTAGTGCATTATGTAGTCTGTCTGCACGCATGATAAGTATAGTAAGAATTTGATGTTCTTAAAGTTGAGAGAGTTGACTGACATTTCTTTACCACCGTGGGGTACCTTGTTGCTGAACATTGCCATAGACCTCAGAATGTGAACTTGTGGGCAGCAGCCAGGCTGGTTAAAAGAATGGCTGCCTGGCCACCTTACATTGACTTCTAGTTCAGAAAAATTATGTGAGGCATTTATATTTGTTCACATCCCTGTGAACAAATTTAGCTCACAAAAAAGCCAACTGATTCTCTGCTAAAAACACCAAAAACTGAACTGAATCTACCCAACTTTTCTCCAGGGAACCCTTCTGCCTTCATCCTTTTTTTTTTAAAGCTTCAGTTGCTTTTTTGTTCTTTCAACAAGTTATCTTCCTAGATGTCTTGCTGTTTACCCTCCCCACTCCTGTTCTCATTGAGCAAACTACCTCCACCCCAAGAACATCTACGAGGTAGGTGCTCTTTGATTGGCAGTTGTGAGTTTAAGTCTATAAGAACACTGCTCCTAAATTTTCGTGTATTACATTCTCTCTTCATTGTGGAGAAGAATCAGGTGCCGAGTTAAGAAACTAGTTAAAATGAGCACACCAACACCAGCTTGTTCAGAACTGGGAGAATCTGATGTATGCTAGTAGTTAAGGCGTTTTGACCTAAGGAATGAGAGTTGGAAAACGAATTAGGAATTATGACGTCTCCTTTTTTTAGATTGGAGAAATAAAATTGTAGGTCTTGTTAGTAACCACCTCAACTTTTTGAGGCAAAATGAACCCATTCATAAGCTGTGAACTATGAGGTGTTGAAGAACAAGATTTGAAAAGGGAGGTGCTCACAGCCTACCCTTAGATGTAAAGGGGATCCAAAGATGACATTCTTTGTGTTTACAAAACAAATGTTTTTATTATGTTATCCAGTTCCCACCTTAGCTTAAAGTATTCCCTATTCAGCTTAATTATTAGAGCAGAAGGATATGATGAATGAAGTACCTCATTACTAATTTTGCTTCCCGGGTCTCCGCAGAGCGAAGCTGTCTGCCTTTGCCTAGTTAGCCCTTTGTCAACCTTAAGTGATGCTGACATTCAATTCTCCTACAGATAATTGGATCCATCCATAGATCGAGTTCTTCAGTCAACACAATCTTGTGATTGACACTCAGCTTGATGTTTTTATTATCTTTTATATGACCGAAAGGGCGCCTTCTCTGTTTCGGGAATAAAATGTTACTGTACATGTAATTAGTTTGATTCTCCAGAACTTATTTCTTCAGGAGAGGTAAGAACTATGGTATGGTAAAGAGTTACTAAGAATACTCATAGGACACACAATGACCAGTTTTAGAAACAATTTTCACTTAGGTATATACAAATTTCCAGACCTGGGTGGAATGTGGCTTTAGTCACTCCAACTTTAAATGCTGACCTTGTCCTCTACAGCACGTGAGGACCTGCATGGAGTCTACTCCTTCCATTTATAGCCTGCATGGGCATTTACAAGAACATGCTTTTATGTGCCAGAAAGCATACACAGAACTTCATATTTAGCAAGTGTTTGCCCTTTAAAATATTAATTTCAGTTAAAACATACATTTTATGCCCAAAATTTGCATTTTGTTGTAGATATTCCATGATAGAAATCTTTTAAAAACTTCCCTTTTTAGGTGGCTGGGGAGATGTCTTGGAGGATAAGCACTTGCCATGCAAACATGAAGACTAGAGTTTAGATTCCCAGCACCCATGTAAACACCACTGGATGAGTGTGCCAGCCTGTATACAGGTGCATGGCCACACATGAAAGCACATATACACATCTGCCTGCCACACACCCATGGGAAAAATATGTTATTAAAGTTTTGCAAATCTTACAGTATAGTTTTGATACTGTAGACACCATAACACAAAGATAGTGTCAGTTGATCTGAACAAACAGTATGATAACATCCAATAACTTCATAATTATGATAAAAACAAATAATTGCTTAAAAAACCCATATGGTGCTATAAATCAAGTGGATGTAGTGTCTTAGTTCATGCAGGAGTATAATTGGGACCTATTACTTGAGGGCACTATCACAATGCATCCCCAGTTCTTAGAAGGTATGTAAAGACACTACTCAGTATCTTCATGAACGTAACCCTAGACTTACACTGGCAACTAGCCAGCCTGTGGAAGGACTGGGCTCTGAGTAGAGCCAATGTTTTCTGGCACAGGACTCACCAGTTCCTGCTGTGCTGAGTAGGTGCAATGTAAAACAATCCTTCAGCTTTTCATGTGAGCATGAAGACCATGGCAAGTGTTCAGTTCCTCCAATGTCTTCTCATTAGTCTTCACTTGAAGTAGTTCTAAACTTGTTGAAATGCCTTTTGCTCAATTTAAGGTCCAAATCACAGAACTAACATGCAGCTGAAAACCCTGAGCTGACCCAAATGAATACTGGATGATCAAAGGGGGTTACCTGTAGTTATAGTCTCAGGGGCAGAGGTGGGGGATCCTCATTGGTGAGCTCTGGGTTTATTGAGAGACCCTACCTCAAGGAGTAAGGTGGAAAAAAGATAGAGGAAGATTCCTGACATGAAGCCAGCACCTCCACTCAGGTACAAATGCACACCTGCATGCCCACATACATGCATGGGTGCACGCACACACAGACACAGACAGACACAGACACACACAGACAGACAGACACACACACACACACACACACACACACACACACACACACACACACACGCATGTGCACACGGGGAAAAGAAAAAAAAAGCCATGAGTCGAAATGGTAGGGACATACATCTTTATTTTTTACTGTCTGAAGCAGCACTCAGGAGACAGAAAACAAGCATGTGCACGGTGACTCAGCTGCCTGGCCCAAATACCCGGAACACAGACACACACAACCACAACACTGCCAGGCTGGCGTTGGCAGAAGAGACTTCAGGGCTGAGGGTTGGGGGCTTCATTGCCACTCTATGCTTTGGAAAACTCCTTTTTAACAATAACAATACTACAAAGGCTCTGCACTGCAGGCTCGTTGTTTACCATGTTTAAGCTTCTACAACATGTGCAGGGATAAGAGCCAAATATATTTGTACTAGAAGCTGTTTCACACTGGCACATCTGGACAAGTTTACACATCAGTGCTCAACACAGTTTTTCTCACTTCTTATTTCAATGGAATCAATTGTCTACTTGGGTAAATAAGTTTTTCTAACTTTACCACAGGCTTTGACCTTGTTGGGGTCAACTGTTTTACTGACAGACTTATCATGTAGTCGAAGACAGGGAAGAGTCAAGGAAGGAAAAACCACAAAGGATGACTTTCCCTGTTACATCCAACTTCAAAACATATGGTCATATGGTAACTGTGTTGTTATTCTGGAGATAAAGACATAAATAATGCTGTGTAATAATTTAAAAACAAATATTCAGAATAAAATAAATATTAACCAATTTATATCTATAAGTTACTTATATGCTTAAATGTGAACTGTCTCTAGAAATGGAAATAAATTTGGCATACTATTGCTAGTCCATCCAAAATCACTCTTAGTTTAGGTGTGTTGAGTTATACACATAATTCACTCCAAAGCAACATAGACATTTAGTTATCACAGGCAAATTGTTTCTTTTAATGCCTTTGTTACTGGGGCAGTATGAATATACACTATTCAGAAGCTGCTTGTCTTTCACACACAGTTAGCTTTAAAGCAGACTCTGCATTCTGAGCAGGGCATCACAGCTACAGCTACTTCACAGATACGGTAGGTAACACTGGATGATGACTTAGGGGACAGGCTAACAATGTACACACTTTTATTCACGCTTGCCAAGTAGCAGTTCTGGAGTTTTATTATTGGTTTTCCCAACAGCAGCAATATAATTTTGATGCAGTTACTAATAGCACAAATACAATACTTTGACCAGTAATACTCACAATGGTTTATAACAATTAAGCCCAGAGGCATAGTGATTTTTTTTTTTACAGTCAAACCTTACTTCAGATGTTTCATAAGGTCAATAAATAGTAGATACTTCTTTTCTTTCAAAATCTACCGAGAAACCCATTTGGCTTAGCTTCTCATTTCATTTCCATTCATCTGGTTGTTTCTTCATTCTTTTCCAAGTTTTTACTAGGGAGAAAAATATACAATGATAATGAACACATCTTCTAGTTATAACTGGTGCAACAATGAAAGTAAGAAACCCACCACCAGCCCACATACTAAACAGAAATACTGTATTAATTTAGTTATCTTAGAGTTTGCCCCTCAAGTGTACTGTTTCCATCTCTGTGTATCATTAGCAAGTGACTGTTCCTGCACGGACAAGCTAACGTTAGTAAGAAGGCAAACTGTCTCAGGAGCAGGCATGAGGGCTCCAGAGTGAGCAGGGGCCTAGGAGGAGGCAGTCTGAGTGGGGAAAGTTCTTCCTTTCATGGGGAAATGTCCTCGTGGAGGGTATTTCAGTTTCATAATTAGAAAGAGACAACCCATCTTCATCAGGATTCTTTTACATTAGTAACCACTAATGTATCTAATTTTCAAACTGTATGAAGCAAACGAGACAATGTGTACTTCATTTCTGAAGGACCATGATAGTGACTGCTCTCCATTGATCTGGACACAATGTGGGGATAAAGAAATTAAACTGTTATTAAACATCAAGAGCTGACACGCACACGCTGCTTTCTTGCAGAGCACAGTGGGCACTGCCAGCGAGTGTGTGTGAAGAGTGGGGTTCCTCCTGGACTGCTCAGGGTCACCACTCATGCAGCACTGCTGACTATCTGGACTTCAACACGTCTGACTTCCCGCTAAACTGAGGCTGTACACTGGACTGTCCTTAGAATGAGCTGTAGCCTTGGAACAATGGCAGTAGGTTAGGTCAAGTCTGCAGATCACCTCTGAGAAAAGTGATGGCTGACACGCTGTGGCAGACAAGGGCAGAGGCTCGGGATTCCCACTGGCTCTTCTGGGAGTCCAGGAGGGAAGGCAAACACTTGACTTTGTTCAAAACAGGCTTTAGCTTAAGTGTGTGGTTACATTATTTTTTTCCACATAAGAAAACTTTATATGCAAGGTTTAGATTCTGTTACCGGTTCAGGTTTTCTGATTTTATATTTGCTAAATGTAATTACACAGAGAAGCTCCTGTTACATACAGAAGCTCAGAAACAGTGTCAAGGGAAGCCCATGAACACCACTACAGCATGCCAAGAGAGAGTAACAGGAAGAGTCAGAAAAGTCATTCTGTCACCACATGCAATATAAGCAGACAATGTCAAACTTTCCTCCACTTAAAGACAGACACAAATGGACAAAAGAGTACAGCAGAGGTTCAAATAAATGCAGGGTACACACAGAAACCCTAAATCTGCAAAGTACAGAGAGGACAATAAAGGTCTCAGGGAACAAGACAACACAACAGACAAAAGAGGAAGGACTCAGTGACGGCAGGACATAAAGTAGAAGGGCAGAAAGGGAGACACAGCTGGAAATGAGCGAGACGCTTCTGCAGGTGCAGGAGATGTAGGGCAAGCTGAGGAAGCAGGTGGAGACTTCACTGTGAGAAGTAAACAGGAGAAACCCCAGAGAGGGACCCTGAGAGAAGTTTAGAAAAAGCTGAAGCAGCAGCAGCAGCAGCAGCAGCAAAGAATGTCTTTAAGGGAAATGAATCCAAGTACTAAGAGGAAGGAACAGTGCAAGATCTGCAGACCTCCCATGAGCAGGAGACAGGTTCGGATGAAAGGGACAGAAGGGACAGTCAAGTGTGCCCCAGCGACTGTTCAGAAGACAGCGGGATACTGGGCTGCTGACAGACAGTACAGGGACTTCAAAGCTGAGACACAGTTGAGCTTTACTAAACACAGGGAAGAGGACCCATCTAACCCAACAGCACACACCTGAGCCGGAGCCCACTTCTCTGAGGCATCTTCACACAGAGCATGCCCACAGCTAACACAGGAAGAGAGAGGCAAACTGAAGGCTTGAAAAAGCCACTTCCGACAAAAAGAGAAAGGAAAATCTGTACAGCAAGATTATGAAAATGAATACGAAACTGGGCTAACGCTTGTGAGATTCAGTAGCAGACCTGGCCTAATGTCACAAGAAACTGAACCTGGAACACATTCCCCAGGTTTGCCTCTGTGCTGAGCCCCAGGTTAAGTGCTGGGGAGCAAAAATGCCACATAGGCAGAGCCCTCAACTTGGAGGCAGAAAAACATGCTTAGTCGAGGGACTCTATTGTGAGACCTTGGATCTTGGGTTCTGTGTAGAAAGGACAGATTATAGGAGACATTTCTGAACTTCTGTTAATTTTGAAAAGAATGTTAAAGAAGTATGAAAATGTTGAGTAGAAAAGAATCAGAAAATCCATGGGTAAAAATCACAACTTCAACATCCAATACAGATAACATTGGTTGATGCCACTATTCAACACATTAGCTACTTTCTAAAGTTATCAATCACTTCTTTCAGCTCACATAAAAACAACTTTGTCATCGAAATAATGAGTACCTGATAAGCTATTATGTAAGCATTTCACAGTTTAACAAATCCTCTGTAGAAGAGCAGAGTCCACGGAAACAACCCTGAATGTTATAAGGATCTCCCACTGTCCCTGTCCCCACGAGGGCTCAAACCACCAGCCTCCTCACTGACAGCCATATCAACAGTACCAGCAAACTGGACCAGAGATATTTTAATCGGTACTCTGCTCACAAAGATTGAGCTGATTTTTATAGAACATCTACTTGAAGGCATAATCCTTTAACTGAATCTCCCCATTGTCTTTAAAAACTTTCCCACTGTCAGGTCAAAGGACATCTGTATTTTGAGATGTGGTTTCACTAATTTGCCCAGAATGGCTTTGAACTCTTGGGCTCAAGTGATTCTTCTGCCTTGGAACACCAGTCACTGGGACGACAGACAGACTCCATCACATCTGGCTACAGAGGAATTTTGCAAACCATACACCCCCACGTGTCCCCTTTTATGAAAATAAAAACAAGCTTACTACCACTGTCATCCATGAAGAATGAATGGACTGTACACGGGACTTACATTTAAGAGGGTAATATACTTCTTTATATTGTCATAAAAATGATATTTCCTAAATTTTGAAACTTGCTGTCATTTTGTGATGAAAAATATTACCTAATTTTTTGTTTTGTTTTTCATTTCATGGATCTGATCACTGCTGAAGTAAATACTTTCTCTGTTTATTGCCAAATATACTGATACTTTTACTAACATTCCCTACACATTATTAACTAGTTTTCTTTTTTTTTTTTTGATGATTTCTTGGAGCTTTCTATATTCTGCACGGAAAAATCATTTAGGTAAAATTCTTCTTCAGCCCAGTTATTAGTGAAAAACTTTATAGGCCCATATTTTCATTTTCTAAAAAAATTCTTTTTATTTAATGGGAATGAGTATTTTGCCTGTATGTATGTAGATATGTATGTATGTATGTATGTATGCATGTATGTATGTATGTGTGTATGTATATGTGCTGTGTAGTACCCAAGGAGGACAAGAATAGGACATAGGATAACCCAGAACTGGAGTATACAGTTATAAGCTTTGGTATGAGTGCTGGGACCTGGACCTGAGTCCTCTTCAAAAACAGCAAGTGGGCACCATTTCTAACATGCATGACCTTAGAAGAATTGCTTGAGCCTAAGAGTCTGATGCCATTTTAGGAAACAGAACTGTCCTCCCCCTAAAAAACAAACAAACAAACAAACAAACAAACAAACAAACAAACAAAAAACCACCACCACCGCAATAACAAAACAACCAAACAAAAACTGAGAATAAAACCGAAAATGTTTTCTAACTCCAACATCATGCTTATATAAAAGCCATCCCAGGATTAATTATTCAACTAGGTTTTGTGCACAAATAGATTTACTTATTTTTTTCAAATTAAAAAAGTTATGGAAACTCTGGATCTATTCTAGAAAGTAACAAATGTTTGCTTTGGGTGTAGGTAGGGCTGTGATACCAAAACTTTGTTTTGGCAGACAAACTACTTCTGCCTACAGAGAAAACCAGGTTCCCATTCCTTATACTTACGCACCCTCTACCATCTTCCCAAGGGCCTGTCTCACAAGTAAATGTGCTCCACCTGTCCAGTATCAGGCTGTTCCTCAGAAGCCCAGGCCTCCCTCTGGAAGGACTTTAGGTGGCTCTCACCTCTGTCTACGGAGCTCTTGCCATCCCCATTTAAAGACCTCCACAGCCAGAGCTTTCCACTAGTTGCTGTACTCTGTTTCAACATTTACAGCCCACAATTTTGGAGAGAAAGAAAGACTACTCTGGGGTCTTTCTCTCAGGATCAAGAGTCTAAGTTGTGCTTGTAGACTGTCCACCAACATTTCCTCCAAGGCCACTGATAGCCTCTTGGTTGTGATTCCCACCCCCGCCAGTGCTTATCCTACCAGCTGAGCTCTCTCTGGCATCTGAAGTCTTTTCCTGGTAATGAAATAGCTTCCTCCTGTTTTCTCTCGCTTCCAACTCTCTGCTGATTCTCTTACCTCTATCAGGGTGACTTTTCGGGCTGTTGGCTCAGTTTTCTTCGCCTGTGTATCTGCTTTGTGTCCTCGGTCCTCCCACTTTTGTTCTTTGCCCTTCTCAGTCCTACAGGAAGGAAAGAGTATAAATGAGAAGCCAGTAAGGCAGCTGCTGCAGTGGGTTAGATAAGGCTTGGATCTAGGGAAGGGATAGTGGGGTGGACAGGGACGATAAATGGGGACCTGAGAAGAACCATGGGGAGAGCGACAAGTGGGACTGTCCAAAGGAGTAAGACAGTGTCCCATCTCAGCCATGACCAAGGGACAAGAATGCAACAAACTCTGATTGATGTTGAGATGCTGAGGGGGCAACCAGAAAATGGTACCAATGTAGATGGAAAAGCAAACCTACACTTTTACAGGGTAGGAGTAGAAGTTCCTATGACGGTTTTAACTGCAGAAGGCCATGAAAAACTCAATGTAGATGGAAAAGCAAAGCTACACTTTTACAGGGTAGGAGTAGAAGAAGTTCCTATGACGGTTTTAACTGCAGAAGGCCATGAAAAACTCAATGTAGATGGAAAAGCAAAGCTACACTTTTACAGGGTAGGAGTAGAAGTTCCTATGACGGTTTTAACTGCAGAAGGCCATGAAAAACTCAATGTAGATGGAAAAGCAAAGCTACACTTTTACAGGGTAGGAGTAGAAGAAGTTCCTATGACGGTTTTAACTGCAGAAGGCCATGAAAAACTCAATGTAGATGGAAAAGCAAAGCTACACTTTTACAGGGTAGGAGTAGAAGTTCCTATGACGGTTTTAACTGCAGAAGGCCATGAAAAACTCAATGTAGATGGAAAAGCAAAGCTACACTTTTACAGGGTAGGAGTAGAAGTTCCTATGACGGTTTTAACTGCAGAAGGCCATGAAAAACTCAATGGTAATAACAAAACATACACCATGGTCTGCTGCAACACAGATTATATTAGAAAAAAGAGCATACAAAAATGAAAAGAGAGAAACCAGGCAACTAGGAGATCAGTCATTTGCCTGAGTATGTACTGTGAAGATGGGAATTTCCTAAATTTAAAAAGATACAAGAATTGAAAAATCAAGTAATTAACAGGAATGATAAAGTAGGCATGCACGAAACTGAACTGCATAACTCATGTTCAAGCTCTGGCTCTTAATGTGACTGCATATGGAGAGAAGGAGGGTGAATAAGTTCATATGGTTTATCCAGTTAGGACAATAAGAGACTCTAGAATGTGCTTATGTGTGAGATCATGCACACACACTCTCCATATGTGTGCAGACGAGGCCCTGTGAGGTCATAGTGAGAGTTAGCCACATGAAATTCAGGAAGAGAGGCCATATTTAGAAGATTCAATGTAGTCCTGAAACTTAGTAATAACAGGTCTGGAGATACAACTCAGTGGGTAATGTACTTGCTGCCAAGTCTGACAGCCCGGGTTTGATTCCCAGAATCCACATGTAGAAGGAGAGAAGTGACTCCTTAAAGTTATCCTATGAACTCCACACATACTGTGGTATGTAGGGGCCCTTCCCAAAACAAAAGAATAACTGTAGAAAAAATTAATAAAAGTCTCTCAAGTATTAGAAAGGTAAAACATTATTTAATTAGATACTTATTTCACCAAAGACATCACAAATATATGTGGACACACACACACACACACACACACACACACACTCATACTTGACATCATAAACCAGTATGGAGAAGGATATACAAATTCAAAGTATATGAGATACACTTTGAATTGCAGTGGTTGAAATTACAGCCTGACTATACCGAGTACTGGGGAGAAAGCAGACAGGTAAGCCTATAAATGTAAAACGATACAGAAAATGTATGAAAAATACTTCTAGCCACCCAATTCTAGTTATTTACCCAATAAACATGAATATGAATATCTATATGATGACTTTCACAAATAGTGATATTTGTAGTGGCTCCGAACTAGACAGCTCAAAGATATAGTAACAGGTAGAGAATAAACCAATTGTGGTACTTGAAACTCTGGAAGGAGACAGCGGTCACTGGTTGTCAAGGGATGGTAGTTAAAGAAATGGAAAGAATTATAAAAAGGATGAGAAATTCTTTAATTGTGGTGATGGCTCATGAGTGTCTATCTTTCTTAAGATCTGAAATGTATATTGCATAACAAGTATATTTCACTATAAGTGTTACAAATACATCTGTACATATAAAACCAGACCTATAAAAATACATGTATGTATATGTGTGAGTGTTCACTTGTATAGGTTATGTGCGTTGGTGTGCGAGCACTTGTGGATGCATGTGGAAGTCAAGGAAAACCTTGGTGGTGTGCTAGATAGTTTTATGTCAATTTGATACAAGTTAAAATCATCTGGGTGGAGGGAGTCATAATTAAGAAAATGCTTCCATAAGGTGGGGCTGTACACAGCCTGTAGAGCGATGGGGGATGGGTCAGCCCATTTTGGGTGGGGGCACCCCTGGGCTGGTAGTTCTGGGTGCTATAAGAAAGAAGGTTGAACAAGTCCTTATAAACAAGCTGATAAGCGGCACCCCTCCAAGGCCTCTGAATCAGCTCCAGCCTCCAGATTCCTATCCTATTTTAGTTCCTGTCCTGGCTTCCTTTGATGATGAACAGTGACCTTTTGTGTTTGAGCATGGTGTTTTGGTCATGGTATTTTGGGCATGGGTTCATCACAGTTACAGTAACCCTAACTAGGACAGGTACCATCCTTCAGTAAATAACAGTGATTGACACAGACTTGTGACCTACGCATACAGGCACTCATGCACATGTAAATGCAAGCATGGGGAAACACCCATGCAGCACATATGCATGACAGAAAGAATGAACACGGTAAGAAATGCAAGCAGAAAGTGCTAACAACAGCCCATGTGGCTGACTTTGGTTATCCAATGAATAAGCAAATGCTTGAAAAGGGCAGGGAGGGCTGCAGGGAAACAAAAGTTAGCTCCTGTTTGTATTCTTGAGTACAGTTAATTAGCAGTGTAAATTAGAGATAATGAGACAAGTTTCTCTGTATGTACTGAACAACAGTGTTTCCACCATTAACTGGTCCGCAGCTTTCACATCATGTGAAAATGTATCTTCACTGACCTAAAAGAATGAGTACAGGTAATTTCCAAAGACGTTAGTAAATGAGCATCTGGACACAACTGAACTTCTTAGGAATTTCTCTTTCTCTTTGATTTGCAGGAGGTTCTTAAGTGTTCTACAAGCCACAAAAGTGGAGCTAGCTACCCTGGCAATGTCTGGAGCCCAAGTGTCTGTGACATTTTCTGCACTTATCTGAGGGTGCACAGTGGGTCTAGGCATCTCCTGAAAAGCCTATCCAACGTGGTGTTTATGGAAGGTACTCTTTAATGTCTACGTTTAATGAGCAATTCTAGTTTTTTAGGATGTAAATTCCTAGGCATTAGTGATTTATTATTAACTATATTATTACATAGGACTTCAATTAACTGAAAACAGTTGTCAGACAGAAACTAAAGCATGCTAGGCTTGTGTGGAGGAACCAAAGACCATGTGTGGGGGGCATGGAAAGAAGGGTAGACTGGACCTCCAAGCTGCCACTTTCCTAGCCCTTATTTCTCCCCCTTGAAGGAAATGGATTCTCTTTCTAATTTCCAGTTGTTCTAGGCGAGTCATCTGGCCAAGGGACCACATCTAGGAGGCGAGCTCACTTTAAACCCCACTAAAGAGACAGCCCTCTCCCTTCACAGAATCCCGACCTCTACATAGTGGATTCCAGGCCTTAGCTATGCAGATGTGTAAGACTGCTTGGTTTTCTGAAGGAAAGTGGAACTTCTTTTCTTCTTTTTATCTATTTTTGAAGCACACTTTCCCCAACACATCAGGCTTCATCGTTCTTTCTAAAGTCTTTCTCTCCCCTCCACACGGCAGCTTGCCTACTGTGTCTGCTGACTCCCATGCTGGCTTAAGTGATGGTTTCTTTCCTCCTTTCCTGTTCCCATCCTCACGCTGCGGACATCTACAGTGGGTTGCCCTGGGGTTTTCTTTCAAACTCAGAACACTGTGTTTGACTTCTGGTCCAATCCATTCTTAAATTCTTTTATTAATGAGACTAAGGACCCCAAGATGGGACCCTGATTTCTCCTGTATCTTTTGGATATCAAGAAGAGATCCCCAAATTCCAGTAGCAACATCTTTCTGTGGAGCCTGAGCAGAGAATCTAGTTGAGAAAGAGACAAGCCTGTTGGTGAGGGGCTGGAGACTGAGGTCTTAGTTGAGTAGTGACAGCGATGTCCTGTGACATTAGTACCTGAATGCCCCTCTTGGATTTATTTGTCATCTATTAAAACAGAGGGGATATGGAAAGAATTATAAGGTATATTTCATATTATGATCCTATGACTCTTTTAAAGTCTACTTAAAAATGGCACATCTCTCATCTGTGGAGTAAAATATTGTCTTGCAGCTTACTGCGTGGTTTTATTTGGCAATTCCTGTCATCTGAATCAGGGTATGAATTATTCCTCAAATTGTTAAAGTATATAGCATATGTTAACTTGAAATACTATGTGTCTGAAGGAAGCCCAGTGGGGATGATCTGTGTGCACATGTGTATAAGGCACAGGAGGGGCCAGTAGACACTGTGCTGTTCATGGACAGTGTATCCAGACTTTGCTGACACACAGAACACATTCTCCCTGGTAGCATCCTGGGAACTGGCTGTTTTCCCTTTCATGTCTCGGAGGAGATATTTCATAATTTAGTTTTACCTAACCACTCGCTTGTATTCACTTAATGTTATTTCAAAACATCACTCAAACAAAGTAAATGAAAAATAAAAGTAAGCCTTCTGCTGTTTAGTGTGTTGCTATTTTATATAGCATCATTTCTCTGGCTTCTAACACATTCTTAAAGTCTTCTAAAACTCAGCTATTGGAAATTTAACTTGTAGTGAATTGTGTTACGAAAACCGGATATGGATAAATGATCCTACAACAATGACAACAACAACAAAAACCCACTGCTATTTCTCATTGCAAAATATCAGAAAGTTCTGAGAAGCACTTACTGTGCCATGAACTGTGAGCCCAGTCTGGAATCCGGGTACCAGTCCGGATGGGGGGCCTGCTGTGAAGGAGGAGAGAAAAACAAACAGTAGGTCAACAGGAAAGAGAACAGCATTGTCTGCATCCACCCACTGAGTCCCCATCAGCTTCTTGCATGAAGACAGAATGTGAGTGTCTATCCCAGCACCATGCTCACTCCTACGGAAAACCAAAGGCTAGTCTACCACAGATTAAATCTTCTTTATAACAAGGTTAGTTTTCAGATGCTGGCACCGGGAAAAACAAACAAACAAACAGACAAACACACAAACAAACAAAATCATCATCATCAACAACAAAGCCCACAAAGAAAAACAAGTAAGTTAGCTTAAGTTAACTTACTACTGTGGTGTGCTACTTAAGCTCCACGCATATCTTTCATCACTGCCTCTTTTCTTTCTATTCGTGTCAGTGGGTCCACATTTTTACAGTGAGGCTCAACTGAACTGAATGCAGATTCTGAATTTGAACACTCCAAATCTTTTATTTTTCTTCAGTAAATCTTACTTTACTAATGGCACCCTTGAGAAAAAGACTGAATGCTCACTTTCAGAGATACCAACTTAAATTCAGAGTGTTATACACTTCCTCTAGAACCCGAAGCATTAGCTCCAACCCAAAGTAGACTGAGGAAATGGTGTTTAATGTAACACACTACTTTAGGAATCAGCCCCGTGCTGCCATAAACAGACTGAAAGTGGTTTTTAGCGATAACTAGATGTTACCAAGAGGAGCCACCTGACATTCAGAATAAGACAATAAATTGCTGAATCATGTACAGATGAAAGATAGCTACACCATTATTCAAATCAAAGCCATTCGGGAACAAACAAGACACCGGAGTGAAAGAAAAGGAGTACAGCTTTTCTTTCAACCTTGTCTGAGAACTCCTGCCTTCCCACTCTTCCCTCTGCTGCAGCCCACTCTGCCTCTCTCTCCACTTTTCCCTCCTTTGTAACCAGATTTCTGCAGGACGGCGCCTTGGCACCAAGTATCCTTCAGAAAGCACACTGTGCGTATTATAATACTGTAAAGATTTTAAGACAATCGCTTTTCTTGACTATGACTATGTGTTCACTATCAGGTGGTTTTAAATCGAACATTTAAGAGGAGAATTAAAGAGTGACAAGATGGGGTGAAAGGTGAGTGCTGTAGCAAGTGACCCCAACAACACAGAACCCAATGGCCTCTTCATTTTTCTTCACCGCTAAAATTGATGAGACTCAGTTAAAATGCACCAAGAAAAAAATATATCCACGGTGAATTTCAAATTCAAAGTCTGGTCCAGATCCCTGAAAACCCTACCTGCTCTCACCCAATAGCACACACAACAAGCAACAAAAAGCATCAGAAACAAACTCAGAGAGCATTAATCTGCCCAGAACTTCCTTTGCCTCTTCATGGGCATGAAGTTCCAAACACATTAATCAAATTAAATGGAAGGTTTAACATTTTACAGTTCTTTACAAGGTCTAAGTATTATTTCTATTTCTTTGTTCAACAGAAGCCAGCATTTTACCAAAAAAAAAAGTGTATGTTTTTAAAACATCCTTAAGCTGGCATTGCCCTGTGCGGGTCTTATTCCTGCTTATAACAGACAGAGTCTGCTCATGTGAAAGGGATGCTGGGATACACTCAGAAAGGTTGAAGTACACTGAAACCAGTGAGGGAGACAGTGACCAGAATGCACTCTGTGTCTGTGTAAGTAAAAAACTAACTTACTAGAGACAAACAATGGGTGAAAAATTGTCCATAGTGTGTTTCCCATTGTGTTCTTATCACTGGTGTATCTGATTCTTTTTCATGATGCAAAGTGGCTTAGGCTAGGTTCAAATCCTATACATTTTAAATTGGTAGGGAGCCCGTATTTTAATGTTTTTACACTTACTTTAAAGGACACTTAATTAGGACTAATACTTCACTCTAAACCCCTTTACTCACTCATTCCTTGGTCTCAGCAGCAGCGCGCCATATGTGTAGTGACTCATGGAGGCAGTAGGAGGGGGAGAAGGAGTTTCTGTGAGCTTTTATCTTTAAACAGAAGCCCCAAGGCTGGAATGCAATCAACCCATAAATGCCCCCCACCATCATCAAGCCAAGGAGCACGGCTGTTCTTCTTCCCCTCCTTTCCACACACACCTCTCAGTTGTTTTGTGACTCCGTTTCCTCTTCATGGGCACCCTTCATTTGGAGAGGAGGGATGAAGAGAGGAAGATGAGCAAAGCGAGGATGAGGAATGGGAGGAGCAGAATCCAGAGACCCCTGCTTCCCAAGCCCTCAGCTTCTTTGGGGGTGATTTTCAACTCAGAATGCAATGAGGCTTAAGTATGAAAGGAATGATAAATGGAGTGATTTAAAATGACACCACTGATTATGTGGAGATTTACCAAGAAGTAAACAACTTACAAACAGCTTTAGAAAAGACAAACGGGCCATGCAAACAACTCACCGGAATCGACACGTCTAAAAACTTGAAGAATGAACGGAAATCATATGACTGTTCAATTGGTGCACGTTGTGGACACACCAACATCGGATAAGGCAGACTTGAGACAGCCTGGCTTTATTTTACATTCTGGTATTCGCCCACTGATAAATTTACCTTTCTAAATGTGTCGTCTCCACTTTGTGGGAATTGTATTTTTTTTCTTTGTTTTAGGACATAGATACGAGAGAGGAAGGTTGCCAATGAGGGTTTGGTGGTTTAATTCTTGTTTCTGTTAACTTTGTGTGGCCCTACTAAGCCGCTTCACCTCTCTTGGGGTTTCTGTTAACTAGAAAAGGAAGCGGGGCTCAGAGTACAAGCACACACTCTCATAGTCCCACACTCTTATTTCTGCAGATGAGGAAATGGAGGCCCAGAGTCACCAAGCAGACAGAAGTAGCTACAGGTTACACAAAGCTTTCTAAAACCAAGTTAACAGTCAAACTAATTTTCAGTACAACTCTGTTTGAAGCCTCAAGTGCAAACATGTAGAAGCAGAATCCTTCTGGGTAACAACTAGGTTTATATGGCCTAGCACACTCTGCCACTGGTATAGATTCCAGTGCTTTAAACTGTAGGTCACAACCCTCTAACTAAAAGTAGGGGCTATATCATGCACCTCCACCAAGTGGCCTTGGCGCTAAACCCACAACATACACACTTTGTACTGTTTGCGATTATGCCACATAGTGCCAGCAAAGGATGCCTGAATACCACTAGGATCTGAAGTGACTGTGTTGTGAACATCAGTGTTTTTACTATATACAGAGTTTTCTGCACTTACAGAACCAAAACATTTCATTATGGAACGAAAAGACACAAATACAGCATTTTCTTGGTGTTTTATTTTTTAAACATGTGACAATTTATCTTTGGATTGTTGTGTTAAAATGTTGGATTTTAAAAGTGGCTGTTTGAGTTTCATAAAAAAATGTTAAATGAAGTTTGTTTGGGATTAGGACAGACTTTTCCCAACTATGCCTGAAAAGGCTTTAATGACTCTTTAGACATATTGCATGAAGTGTTTAAATACAGCACTGGTGGGAGAGGATATATCCTAAAGAGAGATGCTATCAAACCATACCCCCTTTTTCTTGCAAAATCAGAATGTCTAACAAGTATGTAGGAGTCACGTTTGAAGCCAAATCCATACAAAGAGCTCTCACTCTGTATTTATCAAATAGACCTAAGGACAAGGAATTCTACCAGGCCAGGAATGGGTAGTGCTCTTACAACCTCTTTCTTATTCCTTTCTCTAAATCAAACAAGAACAAAAACAAACAAAAACCAGGGGATTTTTAAGAGGCTCCTTCTGTCTGTGGACTTGAATCTAAAGTTCTAAACCACAACAGGGACAATGGAGGTAACCTGGGCTAACTTGTCTCGCAACTACATTTGCACACATTCTGGTCTTTGTTTCTTGGCTTTCTATATATTGTAAGATGGCCACAGGTACAGCAGAGAGGAATTTAGATGTCCTTCTCCTTTCTGTTTTGGCCAAAGTTAAATAAATTAATTTTCCTTTACCAGTTTCTGTTTGCTGATTTCTTTGGACCAGAGGGAAGCTGATGCTACATGGGGCCATCTAAGGTTCTTCACAGGCTGTTTCTAATGTCCCGAAGGTATTCCCCCACTGATAACTCCCAGTTTTCACAAACAGCCGGGCAGTTTCCAGTTACTGTCCTTTATTGCTTTTGTTTAATTGTGTGACCCTATGACTAATGCCACTTTCGTTCTTTAGGCTGTAATTCAGGGACTATTTCTGATTTATTGGTTGTCACTCTCCAGACTTCATTTTGCCATAGTGTCTGACAAATCAAAACAAACCAAAAGCAAAACAAGCATTCTTATAAGTGTTAAACAAATAAGGAAGATGCCAAAGCAGGCGAAGAAATAAGAAGATCCCGGGTAAGGATTGAGGACCAGAAAAGTAAAAGGAGAAAATGATCCCAGCTTTAAGAGGGCTTTTCCACAGAAGGAAGTGCTAATCTTTAAAAATCAGCTGCAGAAACAAGGTGAAATCACAGAAATATAGAGACAGTCAGGATGAAATGCCAGGGATTCATGTTAGATGGCAACCCCTTGGAAGGCAGGAGCCAAAGCGTAGCAGCTGAGGAGTGTGGCACTGTTTTCTTTGCCAAGGTGTCAGAGAGTCAAAGGGAACAAACAGCAAGATGACACAACAGTGTGCCTCACTGAGAAGGGTGATCACAGTCAACAAGCTGGTGACTTGCTGGGAAAGAAAAAGCAATGGATAGACTCAGAGCACAAGTGGCAAAAGTGTACAAGTGTTTCCTCTAGGCCTGGAGCCCGATGAGACAAAGTACAGATTCCAGGTGCTGCCTATGTGGCTGGCATCAACTGCCAAATCTTGGTGCTTGTATGGACTGACTTCCTGTGGCTTAAGTGGCCTGGCTTGGGAAATGGACTGTATGTAAGCAAGAAGGTACAAAATATCAGAGTAGACCTCCAAAGAAAAAAAGTGCACCATTTAACTAACCGTATGTGCAAGTGTGCAAACCCTTGTGAGGAGGTGT